CTGACCTCGACAAGCGTACGAAAAGTCTAATGACTGCGCGAAACACCTGCCAGGAGCTTGTTTTCGACTGGTTGGACAACTCCGTGTTTAGGCGAATTGCCGTGAGTGCGTCAGAGGAAAAAGGGATCATGCAAACAATCGATGCGTTGTCATCAGAACTCATTTCCAACGAAAGACGAGATCAAATTTACTATGATGGATTGATAGCCGATTTGAGTGAATCTGGTCGTGTTCGACGATTCACAAAAGAGCGGTACAATCTCGTGAACGGTCTAGATGTCGTAAGTTAATCACTTCACTTGGTTCGCAAATTGTCGTCCCCTGTGTTTACCGAAAATCTGTCTCTCCTGCCTCTCCCATAGTGCCATGGATGAACGTGCGTAAGGACAATCGATCCTCTGTTCTTCCCAACAATGCACAAACCATCGCTCTGAATAAACGTGTATCTCGTTGAGGGGGACCGTCAAAATCACCCTCAAAGGCTGTTCTGAAGCCCGTATGAAGTAATCCAGAGTGAACAATGAGCAGATTAATAGGCTCTGGTGCTACGCGTTTCAGAGTCACTTGCAGTCATCAGCATACAGCGAAACAGTGCAGCAAACTTCACTGATAGCTGCCAAACTCGCAGTGTTTACAAAGTTAGTGGGATAATGTATGCAGTGGACGGGGATTGTGCCAATATTTAGAGATAATTGGATGGAGGAAGGAATAAAGTGAAGCTCTGTGGCCAACACACAGTACGCAATCTTACTGTACTTACGTACCCTTTCAAACATTTTGATTCGGTGTTCCAGACTTTCAATCACCCTGTTAATTCTATTTATCAATCATCTTTGTCCAAAACCTCTAACCACATTCACTGCCTTGTCGATGATACCATTTCCCATTATTCTCTTTCTTATACCACAATTCATGAAGCCACTACCAATATCGATCACGATCGCAATGTCATTAGTGCTTCCCTCACCTCTGCATAGGGTTCTACCAACCACGTGTGTTTGAATGCTTCAAAATCTCTCCTCACCGTCACTCTTAAACGTGTCCCTTATCTTCCTCAATTAGGTCTTGAATCGCCGTCCGTTCGTTCCACAAATTCTCTCCCTCCTGGGTTTATCCATGAAATCCCTGTTTGTCCACTTTTATTACCACACTCGCCTCTAGTGCTGCGCGCAGTCGGTTTTCTATTCCGCGCAGAGCTCAAATACTGATTTCGCGTATGGTTTGGAGCATCGCATTTCACTCTTACTCTCCTCGACCGTGTTCAACGTAAGGTCATCCAGCTCATCGGCGAACCGTCTCAACATGCAGTCGCTTTACGATCGCCGAGCAGTTGCTTCGATCTCTTTCCTATTGTTACTGTTTTGGTTTATGCTCTTTCGAACTCGCTTCAGCGGTTCCCCTTCCATTTACCTTTTCTGGTCTATCTCGTTCTCAGGTAGGTTTTTGTCGCCAGATATCGAACTTCTATCTTTCAATCTTCTTTTACCCTAGGATTGTCAAACTGTGGAACACTCTTTCTCTCTCCGTGTTTCCAAGCACTCGTAATCTTACTCTGTACAAAAGCAGGCTTAAAAAATGGACTCTCACCTGAATGTTCCCCCACACACCTTCCCGCTTAGAGTATGTCATCGATTGTGAGGTTTACCGCTTTTGCTGAAAATCACCTCGTGTGTAATGAAAAAAATTGTCATGCCCCATGAGTTAATGATCAACCCACGAAATGAGTGAATAACAGAAAGCATGCTGCTGCCCTTGCTTTGGTCAATG